CCAGCCACGGAGGGGTAGTGAGACAAACTCTGGAACAAGACCCAAGGGGGTAGAGTGTGGCAGGGCAGCGGGTGGCCACGGCTCCGGTCCCCCCGGGGGCTGGGGCTGAGTCTGGTTCCTCTGAGTCCCCTCCACCTGGGGCTGCTTTTCGTGCAAAGTAACTTTTCAGTTAAGAATCGAAGCCGCTCGGGTGCCGTGTGAGAATCACCGGCGCTCTCAGCTGCAGTGGGGGTTCCTCCACCATTCCTCTCACTGACCGAATAATTAGCCCCTCATTTATCAGGTTCACAAAAACACAATTTCATAAATCATCCTGATTAAAGAGGGCACACGTGGCACGTCCGCTCGAGACCCTGGGTAACAGGACGCCGCCGTGACCGTTCGGGCGTCGTGGGGAGACAGAGCAGTGTCCAGAGAGCAGCCCGGCGGTAGAGTTTCCTTCCAGTTGCCTGTAGCCTGAGGCCGCCAAGGCCCTGGCTCCTGGCCCGCGTCCCTGGAGGCTGCTGGTGTGCGCGCCAGCCTGCCTGCTCTCGAGAAAGCGGCCTCAGCCGTGTTTGGAAGCTGTCTCTTAGTTACTTCTGTTTTCTGCTGTTGTCCAACAATCAGGCAACTCCCAGGCTTCGATGCTGGCAGGAGATAAGCAGTCTGTAATGAATGTTCCTGCCACGGGTGTTGAAGAGATGGATGTACCAACAGCTCAAGAAACGTTTAAAAAACAAAGAAACCCCCCCAAAAGCCACCTCCCTACCTCAGCAATGGATTGATTTTTATATTTATCCCCTTCTACTCTGGTGCCGTAAACACTTTTTTCCAACTTTGCAGTGATCACACGCAGCACTTCTACTCAGCCTTTTCCACTGCGCCACTCAGCCCCAAACAGATCACAGGCAAGCCCCCGGTTTCAGCAGACCCTTCCTAGTTACGAGAGCTGCATGAAAGCGCGGTTCCTGCCCCTGGGATGGGATGTTTGGGTGGCCCTCAGCATTTCCTTACGACAAGAACACTGACCCTCTCCAAGCCCAGCCTTTGTGGCCAGGAGCCATTTACCAGAATGTGCATCCTAGGCAAACACCAAGCATATGCCCATTATTTCTTCCCCTGTCATGTCTGGAAAGGTTCTGTGAGTCACCATGTGGCCTGAATTTGCTGGTTTCAACATTATTTTATTAGCTTAGAACTTATCTCTGTTGTGATGAAGACCCTGGAGCCAAATTGCTTGAGTGTATGTCCCTGCCGCTAGGATAGCTAGCTGTGTGACCTTGGGCAAGTTACTTAACCTCTCTGTGCCTCAGTTTTTTTCTCTCTGAAGTGGGGAAAATAATCATAGTTGCCCCTGGAGTTGTTATAAAAATGAATGTCTTAACGGTCCGTCTCTGTTATTTACAGATTCTATACCTGTGAATTTACCCACTGGATAGCATTTGTTGGTAACCCCTAGATTAATGCTTCTAGCACGTCTGCGGTGATTCAAAGACGTGTTGTCCACCTCACACTTCCCAGCAGAGGTAGTTGAAGGCGACGCTCCACCTCCTGTATCAGCTCTCACTCTGTGACAAGTGTCCTTTCCGTCACGTCCTTTGTGCCAGGTTTTTCACATTGTGGTGCTTTTTGGGGGTGCTTCTGCTGTCACAGCTGGCCTCCGGGCAGAGCACTGAGGTGCTGGCTTGTGCTCCTAAGTGGATGAAGAGAATCCACGCGTCAGATAAGCTTCATCCAGGCGAGGGTTAACCCGAGTCCCATGTCACTGTCAGCCACCAAGGAAAGATCTTTGCACAGAAGCTCACACAAACCCAGGCTGTGTGTACTGATGGTTGCTGGAAACTTTGGGGGTAGGGACAGGAGCAGAGGGTCAAGGTCACTCAGTGGCTTCAGGAACATGACAGAAACAGAGCTGGGCTGTTTCTGTTTCTGTCCCAGAAACAGGGCTCTGGGACAGCCTGGTGCGTAGCACACATTTGTGAGGTGGTTGTTGCTGTTTTCTTAGAATTTACACTTTGCTCACTTAGTAGGAACTCACTAAATAAATCGCTAAAAGGATGCACTTGCTCTGTAAGATGGCCGGCTGGCTGTATTTCTCCATGTGCAGAAATATACCTCTTTCGGAGTGGGATACAGATGTTGTGCAGGTCCAAGGGTTTGGTGTCGAGTGGGAGCAGCGTGGAGGGACCGTGGAGGCCGCTGTGTCCTGTCTGTGGCGATGCAGTGTCACTTGTGAGGCTGGAGTTCGGAGAAGCTGAACTGGAGACCCTCTCACTGATTTTGAACAAAAGCCCACATGGATGTGTTCTGTCATTGCATCCGAATGTGAAATGATGACATTGGAGATATCAGGGATGAGTGCTGGAGAACACATTTATTTGCTGAAGCCAAAAATTTAACCCGCCGGGTCTGCCAAAGGATGTTTTCCGATTTGTAGATGTGCTCTGTAGACCCTAATACAACTTTGTTACACACTGAACACAATGCCACTCGCCAAGGGGAAGTAGGACTTGGAACTGGGAAATCCGGGCGCAGATGGCAGGTGAATGCATGCCCGTCTCTGCCATAGCTGCCCCCAGCCCCTAGTCCTCAGCCCCTCCCCACACCTGGCCAGGGATGTGGGCTTGCATTTTTGCTAACATATATTTGAGCCTCAAGAGGTAACAGACAAACCCCTGCAAGACCCAACAGTCTCCCCCTCTCTGCTTCTACTGCATGTATAACGGGCATCTGAGAGGCTGTTTGTAGGGAAGTGCAAGCCCCCGGCCTCCGATTGGAGGTGCTTCGCCATCAGAACCAGGGTTCTCCCCCCAGGCTCACACACTATCCTTTTGCTTCCAGGATACTGAAGCATTTGAAGACCAAGGACCCCATGCAGTTGAGACTAGAGCACTTGGAACAGGGGTTCTCTGTCTATGTCAATGGGGCCAATTCTGAACTGAAGTCCTCGCCTCGGAAAGCTGTCCACCCCGACCTCTCCAGGAGTGCCTCGCACGCCGAGGGGACGCAGGGTGAGCCCAGCCCCATGCTGCCACGAGACTCAGGCTGCTTTGCAGCTAGTGCACCCGGCCACAAGTTAGCGATGTCCACTCGGTCAGAAAAAGACACGTTCTCTTTCATTTCTTTTTAAACTGAATCTTGGACTCCACTCCCCCAGGACAAAGGCAGCCAGAACAGTAAGTTCCTGGCTTTCCATTTCCTAGGTCTCGAGTGCCCGTAATGTAAGGAAACGTCTGGGATCATTCTGCTTGTACCTGATGTTCACTTCCATGTCTTAACTTCAGCGCCTAAGTCCAGTTTGTTTTTTGATTCCCCTGTTCGTTTCTGAATTCAGTTAACCCATACTGTGCATACTTTAAACAGATATCCTATTCCCCATAATAGAAACACAAGCCTGGGGGGTGTTTTGTAGAAAGCCCCCGACCAGCGTGAGACCCTCTCCTCTCCTCACACAGGTTTCAGGGAAGGGCTGGCAATAGGCACCCCAGCCACGGCCACCGGAGCGGGTCTACCCTCCCACAAAAGCATCTCCCCGCTCCTGCAGGCCATGTGTGCGTGCTGTTTTGTAGCCTGCTTCTACATCCTGAGATTGTTTCTGTTGTACATTATGCATATTGTCCCATGGCATGGATGTGCTGTGACTTATCACCCACTCCCTTCAGTGGGCCCTGAGCTCGTGTTCTAATATCTCGCTGCGGTAAACAGCTTGCTATTTCAGACGTTAGGCAGACGCCCTGACGTGCATCGCAATGTCGGTTACAAAATGGCCATCGGTGTGAGCCTCTCATCCCTGCCTCACCAAAACTCCTTCCCTCTGTGATGCAGATGGCGGACGAAGAACCCTATTTCGAGAAACTGAAGAAGCTTTAAGACGCAACTCACGGACAGCTCCCAGCAAAGTCCAGCGCAGAGGATGGCACCAGGTCTGGGGTCCCCCAATCCCCATAGGCAGAATCAAGATGACGGTGGGCTTATGGGAACAGAAATACACCAGAATCCTTAGAACCCCGCAGACAGAGGCTGATTCTGGCTGGGCCCCGCAGAGTTGCCTTCTCTGGTGTGGTACTGGCCTCTGGAGAGTAGAGGCGTCCTCCAGACCCTCTCCTCATGGCCCGCCCTCTGGACAGGTTCAGCCTAACTGCACTCGAGTACCTAGAGGTCAGACTCACAGTCCACTGTAGCAACGTATTTGGAGACCTGGTTTTTATTGAGCACCTACTATATGCCAGGTACAGTCTTAGATGCCAGGGATGCAGTGGGTCATTAAGACAAAACTCCTGCCCAAAGGCCTGAGACACCAGTTTGGGCTCCTGCAGGTGCCCACAGCTTGCGATTCTGAGCACCTGTCAGGTTATCAGATGTGTGCTGAGCAATCAATCACAGCAGATCTGGTCAAGTTTCAATGCCCTCCCTCTTTTAGGATGACTGAAAAGGCAGGACAGGGCTTTCCAAGGGCCACCTTAAGAGGTGACCTCATCAAGACTCAATTTTGGTCTTCTGCCCCATGCTCTGCATCCTAGCCCACCTCATTCTCATTTATACCTTATCTTGAAGTCACCTAGACCTTACTGGGGACTAGTGGGGCTGAATTTGAATGGACTGCACATTCAGATTGTGTGGGGAGATCTTAAAATACAGTGCTCGGGCCAGAGATCCTGATTTGCTTAGTCAGAGTTAAGCCTTTATGTGTGTGTGCGCGGATCTATCTTGTTTCTAAACCTGTGTCACCAAGGTTGGAACAGGGTGACATTTCACACCATACTGAGTGGATGGCGCTGTCATCAAATATGTTTATATTCTCTAACCCATCTTTGCAACAGTCCGGTCAGCCCTGGAGTATGTGTCTTCATTGTGCAGTTGCAGCAGCTGAGGCCAGAAAAGTAACCGAGTCACACAGCTACTGAGGGAGGAGTGTGGCTGTTTCAACCGTTGTGGCTCAAGGCCAGAGGTCTCCCTTCCCACTTCCCTGCAGGGGCTTTCGTGGGGGCTGTGGGGAGATGGAGAAGGGTGCTCCTGCCTTATCTCTGCGCTGAGGCGCTTGGCCTGCCGAGGCACCCGGTCTGGAGGCCTCCTTTTGTCCCCAACAATGAATGTTAATTCCTCACTAATGAGGCCTTTCTCTACTTTCTCACTTCAGACAGTCCTTCTAGTTGTTTTGAGTGCCTCCTATTATCAGAAGCCATATTTGCGTCTTGGATTGTGACTTAATGACTGGCCCTAGAGTCTGTGCAATTTAAAAGGCTTGGTCCAAGATTAATTAGCATCCCGCCCCAGCCTCTCCCTGTGGCCCCACACTTCACAGAGCCTAATCATGGCTAATTTCCTGGCTTCCTGATGCCGCTATGGCTGTAATTGTCCTTCTGCACCGAATCAGTCAGGGGTCAGTCAGTGCCTAACAATGGAGACCACTTGGCTATTTTAAGCAAAAATGAATGTAAGACAGGGAATCAGGTGCTTCCAAAATCCTTGGGCTGGCAGCAGCTGGCTGGGAGCTTAGCTTCCAGGAGTGGTGGCCTCAAATCCCCACACAGGCCTGCAGAAAAACTACCACCTAGCACCTGGGGGAAGGTGAGGGCCTTAGCTGCAAATTGAGGAATCGGGGAGCCACAGACACAACCACTGGCCTCAAAGGTTGCTCCAGCAACCTGCCAAGAAAGGCCGTGCCCACAGCCTGCCCAGCCAAGGTGGGATGGTGCTGAGAAACCCATGACTCCCCCCAAGGAGCCCTCCTTCCCCTCCTTCACTTCCGCTTTCCCTGTCTCTTGTAAGATGGTCTGATGGCTGCACCTACGTTGCATCCGGAACCTCAGAACCTCTCTGAGCTTTGGGCTCATCAATAAAACCTCCCAGGGTCTCTGGGAAGGAAGGTGCACAGTGTAGGTGACAGCTGGCCCATCCCCTTCCGGTAGGAACAGCTTGGCAGGAGGTGACCAAGCTCAGAGAAGTGGTTCAGAGACAAACACTAGAACCCGGTTCCAAGCCTCAGCTCCACCACTCGCTAGTTGTACATTCTTGGGAGGGTTGCTTTACCTCTTGACGCCCGTTTCCTCACCTGTAAAGTGGTCTTGAGAGGGTACCTGCATCAGAGGGCCACAGTGGATGGCACAAGCCGAGGTCTGTAGAGCTCCTGAGCCCTGCTGGTACAGCGGACACACTCTGGGCATGATCTCAGCCCTTGAACTCAGTGTTGGGGCAGAGGCTGAGGGCCTGGAGGCCTCACAAGCTCCTTTACTGTTCAACCCTTCATTTGTTCATGGCCACTTACTGAGCACCTACCAAGCTGTGGACACCTAGGTGCCGGGTCAGTGCAGCGTGTGAGGCAGGCCAGGCCCTGCTGTCCTGGAGGGGTGTCGACCGCGGTTGGTGGGGGTGCCGGGGCCAGAAGCAAGCTTGCCGGTCAGCAAGAGTGAAGAGCCGGGTGAACTGGAGCATGTCTCGGGAAGAGTCACGCTAGGCAGTGGGTGTGGGATGGGCGTGGGACAGGCTTCCTCAGGGGCCACATCTGAGCAGACACCCCAAGTTGGAAGGAGCCAGCCCCAGGAAGATCGTCACGGCACGAGTCTCCCATTGGGGGCATAGTGAGGGCGATGGGAGAGGGGTTGATCTGAGAGGAGACTGGGGTGGCCGCGGTGGTGGCGAGGACGGAGCCACAGGTCAGAGTGGCAGGAGCGCACAGGGCCCAAGTGCCCAGGAGAGAGTCTGGTTTCGCTTTATGTGGGAAAAAACGGGAGGGTTTTCAACAGGACAGCTCCACGCTTGGGTTCATGTTCTGGGAAGATCCCCAGTTGCCGTGGCAGGAGACTCAGGCGGAGGCCGTGAAGCAGGGCCTCAGGATCCCAGAAAGCCCCATCAGCTTCTTCTCTCTGGCCAGCCCCACCGGCGCTGCTCCCATCACTTCAGCTTTCCCACAGTTTTGCCTTTCTCACGCCAGGCTCTTGTTCCTTCAGTGTTCCTTTGTTGAAATTTTCCAAGAGAGAGACCTGGATCTCTCACCTTGTCTCTGTTCCTCGGGTTGTGGCCTGGACCACTGTGAGCTGGATGGGATTCCCACGCTGGCCGTGAAGGCGGTGCCCGCCCCAGTGCTGAGCGGGGACTCGGTCCCGTGCTTGTCACCAGAGGCAGGATGGCAGGACCCGCCGTTGCAGCAGTACCGCCGTGAGCAAGCAGGACGGCCTGAGTTCCTTTGGTACCAAAGACGTAGGGTGAAGTAGAAACTTCATTCACGGTAGACATCTCATGGGGACAGATTTGGGGGTCCGTTGGCTAGAGAGACAGTGTTTGTCCTCACCCTTTGGGGTGGGCAACACCATTCCTGGGCTAGCAGGGATAGGCATTCTGATCAAGGTAGCAGAGGCCTCGTGGCCAGGGGTGGCTAATTCTCAAAAACTACCCCTTCGGAAGAGGGACCGTGGCCCTGTCCCCAAGCTGAGGAGTCACCCACTTGTCCACGCCCGATAGGAGGGACGGGCAGGGCCACATGGTTACCTCGTCATCCGCACTGGCTCCAGCCAGGTGAGCAGGCGCCACAGCGGCCATAGTGAGCCTCAGAGCCACAGCCTCGCTCCCAGCCAGCCCTGCATCCTGCATGCTGCCACTTGTTATCTTGCCACTTTTCCTGGGTCTCCCCTAAACTCTCGAGTCACCAATCGCCTTTCCTCTGATCAAACCTTCCTTTGCCTCTCCCAGTAGGTTAGATTTCCCCACTTAGGGTCTCATCCAGCAATTAGGAAGCAGTTTTGGGTAGCGCTGTCCCCACCGACACAGGCTGCCTCAAGTGCACAGGCCAGAGGTTCCCTGGCCAGAATGTCACCATCACCCAGTGCCGCCAGGAGGCTGAGCAGCTCACCCTGGAACACCCTTGCTGGGGCTGTCCAATTCCGGGCACTCTGGGAAGGCAAATGGCAGTGGCTGGGCTGGTTGCTTATTGGCTCCAACGCTGGTGGTGATAAATGGGTTCTTGTTGGTACTGTCCTCCCCCACCCCCGCTTCCCGGCTGTAGATCTTTCCACCGCTCTCCGTGGATTAAGATTTATGGCTTCCTCAGCCTTGTAATACTTGGGTGGACAGCGGCCTAATCAACAGAGCCGTCGTTTACCAAAACGCTGTCAGATTTGATGAACGTCATCGGCTCTTAGCATTAAATTGGTAGTGAAGGGATTGGCCTTCCAGCAATTTACTGGGGGGTGGGCTTTCCTTAAAGGTCTGGAAAGCGAGTTCATTGCAATTATTAAAGCGGTGGCTATGCTTCCGGTCAGCCGCACTCTCCCGTTCCCTGCGGTGGCTGAACAGCTCACACACCTCCAGGAAGTCTCCCAAGGGACATGTGAACTGCGTGGGGCCGGTTCCTTTGTTTTCCTCTTCCTGGGTTTTGAAACTCAGCGAGGACAAGAAATGAAATCACCCATAGAGCACCAGCCTTACAGCAACCCTGCACAGAACTGGCCCAGCGTCCAGCACTGTGACTTGAAAAGATCAGACGAATCTAGGAAGAACAGATCAAAAAACCGAAACGGCCTCCCACCTCCCCCATCTGCCTCTGCCACTGTTGTTAGAGCTGCGTCCTCTGGAGGGAGCCATCGGCACACCGTGCACCCTGCACAACCGCACAGGGCAGCCCCCGGCCTCGCTCGTCCTCCAGTGGCAGTGGCTTGAAGGCTCACCTCTCAGAACACTGGCCAGGGGGCGGCAGATACAAATAGCTCTTGGCGGACGAGGTGCCGACTGTGGCAGGGAACCAAACAAGCCGGCTTGGACGGGCAAACGGGCGCACAGGTGTTTGGGTGTCAGGGCTTGTAAGTGCTGTCCCGGTGTGTGGGATACTGCCGGGCCTGCCCCCGTGCGGGAGCTGCAAGTGGGCAGGGGCGCAGCCGCTCAGAAACGCCCACGGCAGGTGCAGCAGCCTCGGCCCGGGCTGGCGGGAGCACAGGCCTCCTCCTGCGGTTGGGAAGTGGGAGGCAGGGAGACCAGCTCTGGGGGCTGCTTTGGAACCAGCCTGGGCTCCTTGACCAGGTGGGCGTCCTCCTGTGGGAGGGGCTGCGCGCCCGCCCCTCCCAGCCGCAGCAGAGGCGCCTCCCTGGGCCCGGGTGGGAGAGCAGGCCAGATGGAGGGGCTATTTATTCCCCTCCCTGACACCCACTCAGCATTTAGAAACTCTTTCAGGACCACATGAGTTTTGTCACATGTTGCTTCATAAACACGCTCCTCCGATGCGTGTGCTGTGAACTTGAGGCCGGGGCATTGGGGTTTGTTGTTGTTGTTTTTTAGAATTTTTTTATAGCTTGACTTGTTTCCAGAATCCTGCATGCAGTCAGTACCCAGCAAGGACTTGCTGATTCGGTGCCTTCACGCCTACTGTCAACTTGTCTGCTGACATGGTGTGACAAGCCGTTGGGCGAAGCTCCTGGGAAGGAAGAAGTTTACTTCAGGAGGAAGGGAGAGGGGTGTGCAGATGGGCCACTCCTGGGCGCCCCCCCCCCCCGGGCTCTTTCTCATGTTGCCATTGAGATGGGACCACAGAGCCACAGTGGCCCAGCGCTCTCTTGCCAGTGGGAGCGCTCGGGTCAGGCACGGTGTAGCAGCTCCCCAGCTCTGGGGTCTCGCCCAGCTGCCAAGAGACAGTCTCGGGTAGCGCTGCCCCCACTGACACAGGCTGCCGCAGGTGCAGGGCCCGAGGGCCCCTGAGCCAGACCGTCAGAGTCACCCAAACGCCGGCCAGGAGGCTGAGCGGCTCCCCTGTAGGCCCTTCCGGGGGTCTCCAGTTCTGAGGAACACAACTGCTCCCGACCTACTTTCTGTCACCTGGCAACTGCATCTCTTTGGCTCCCCTGAACCAGTCTCCCAACCCCCTCAGCCATGGTTATTGACCATTGGAATCGATTGCACTGACTGACCAGGCCCGAGCCACAGGCTCTGCTCACGGCCTTTGCTCCAAGACCACGTGAACACTCGGATGGGGGGTGGGGAGGCAGGAGAGTTTCCCCAAAGAAACGCTTTTACCAGAAGACAGCGCCTCACGCCGGTCAGGCAGAAACAGCAGGCCCCCGCCAAAGCCTCACGGACCTCACGGTGCTCAAACGCGAATGCGCTGTGAATCTCCGGGGCGTGTTAAAATGCAGGGTCTGATTCTGAGGTGGGGGGGAGGGGATGAGGCATTTGTCACAGCATTCCCGGAGAAGCCACTTCTGCGGGTCCACGGACGGCAGGTGGGGCAGCCAGGCTCGTCCAAAAGCCTCTTCTTCTGGATAAAGGAACATAAACCCACGGAGGGCCAGGCTGGGCCTTGTGCCCACGGGCCTCCCTCAGTGCTGCCGCCCTCCCTCCTCTCCCACCCTCCCGCCTCTTCTCCGGCAGCTTCTTCCCCAGTAGAAGGCCTCCTAGCATTTGGGCGTTATCAAGTGGCTCCTGGCGGGGGGAGCAGCCGGCTCTCCACGGAGTTAGCGTAGAAAATCTCCCTCAGATGAGCTTCAAAGCCTCTGTGGCTTCATCCTGGGCTGAGGCAGGAAGGCTTTGGCCCGGAGGTCCCTGGCGTTCTGTATTCTGTGCAGGCTGCCCTCCATGAACCCCACTGCTGAAGCCAGCGGATGTTGTCTGGGGCAGGGACGCCGCGCTTGGAACCCGAGCCCCGGGCGGCGAGGTGGATGGTCCAGAGGAAGGCAGAGCCCAGCAGACAGTTCCAGAATCAGCCAGGCGCCCGCACAGGCTGGAGGGCATGGCCAAGTGGCGGGACCGCTGGTGACGGACAGGTGCGCCTCGGCACCTTCCTTCTGCTGCTTCCTGGGTCTCCGGCAGGCCCGCTCCCAGCTGCCTTTTCAGCCTCACCCATTCTCTCCCCCAGATCCGTCTCCCAGTGCCCAGCACTGCCTCCTCTCAGGAAATTCTTCAGTTTTCCACTCTTCTCCCCGAAAACCCCAATACCAGGCTGGACACGCATCCTTCACAAGCCTGTCGGCAGCCGTGCGATGTGGCGGTGTAGAAGCAGGCGGGTCCGCAAACTACGGTCAGATCTCACGGCAGCCTGTCTGTGAGCTACAGGGGGTCAGGGCTGGCAGAGCCACCTGACGGAGCCTCGAATCTGGCCTCTGCTGCGTCCTGGCTGTGTACCTTGGGCAAGGGCCTTCCAGCCTGAGGCGACTGTGAGCACTCAGTGAGCCAGGGCTCGGGAGGCATTTGGAGGTGTGCAGGTCAGCCGGTCAGCGTGCAGTGAGAGCAGCGAGCACAGGGCTCGGGGGAGGACAGTGTGGACTGTCTCGAGGAAGGAGCTGTGTCCCATCCCTGAGGGTCTCGTGGTATCGTCTTCTTCATTAAGATAATAGTGTGTTGACTAAGTTTTTGGGGAAATGAATCTGGCCAGGGTGAGGGGCTCTAGCGCCAAGCTGGACACAAGAGGGGGTGCACAGCCCAGCCACATCCCCTCGACCAGGCAAGAGACTCATGCCCACGGCTCGCGGGCCTCTTCCGTCTCGGGATGGAGAGTTTAAGGAGGCTCGTGCTCGGGTTCCGGCACCTGCGGGGCCACACCTGGGAGAGGCTGTCTGGCTCGCTCCACCCTGGTCCTGGCTGTGAACCCCAAGCCGGACACAGCCAGCCTGAGCCCAGAGCCAGGAGGGGAGGGGACCCTCTCCTTACTTGACTACTAGGTGATGCCCTGGGCTGGCTTCCAGGGGCCACATACACTTGAGGGAGGTCTGTCCCCTCTGTAGACCCGATGCAGTCTCAGTTACCAGGACAGCCCCCAGCCCCGGTCACACCCCCACGCTCGGCGTCACGTCCCTGCCCCGAGAGCTGGCATCACTGGGTCACGTCGAAGGCAGTTCTCTGATGGCCATGTCATTCGCGCTGCTTCGACTGCTGCCCGGGGGCTCGCTGGCCCGACTTGCCTGGGGTAGCACGAGGCGTAAGCACTGGAGGTCGAGGAGGCTAGCGGCTGCCAGAGTGTCGATGCCAGGCCCTCTGCTCACGTGAGCACCCCCCGTACAACCACAGACCGAGCCGAGCACCCGAAGCCAGACATCAACTAGCCTTCAGCTCAACTGTGTGTAGCGGACCCCCCACGGGGGCTTAAAGACGATGTCGTGTCGTTTTTCTCACTTGAACAAGGTATTTGGAGGCCAGGCAGCTGGGAGAGGGGGTCGATGCCTCAGGGGCCCAGGCGCCTGTTTTCCCACTGGCAATCCTTAGCAATGGGACCCTCTTCTGTATTTTCACGAGATGCTGTTTTGCTCTAAAACACCCCACCCACATTCCACCAGGAGGGAGGGCAGGAGGGAGAAGGCACCAGTCCTGCATCGCCCTGTGATCCTGACTCAGGGTAATAGCAGCATGTAGGGGACTTGGGCCGCTCGCATCAGCTGCAAGGGCCTCCAGGGATGTGACCGTCTGAAAAGTCACTAAAACGTTCTACTGAACATGCTTTGGGCAGTAGGAATTGGAAGGAGGTGGCGTGACCCAGGCAGCCAGCCGGCCGGTGCAAGAAGGTCAGGGCAGGACTGGGGGTGCGCAGACTTATCTCCCACCTTGCCATGCCCCGCGGAAGCACTGGTCCCCCCGCCTCGGAGCATTAAGATGTTTCTTCCTACATCTGAAACATTCGCAATTTTTGTGTCTAGAAATCTGTGCAGATCAGAACAGAAGCTGGCCCGCGGCTCCACATCGAGCCTCCTCTGGACTGTTCTCAAGACTCTGAGCCAAGTGGGGATGCGGCTGTCAAGGCCAAGGATGCCTCCGGGGATCACCCACAGGTAGGACTGGCCTCGGCGCCTGCACAGCAGCTGGGGTGGCAGCTCCTCTCTCCTCTGCTTGCTGCCACCTTCCCTCACGCCTGCAGTCATTTCCCACCCCTCAGGGGGCCCGTAACCAGCTGCGAGATGCCAAGCTCGGCAGCCCCTGTCCAGAGGTCAGTAAGGCTGGTGCCTAACCTGGACAGGCAGCGGCATACCACCCTGTATCCCGAGAAGGAGCTCAGAGGTGTGACCAGGCGTAGCAGGACCGAGAGGGTCAGTCTCCAGGAAGGCTTCCGAGAGGAAGTGACACTGGCCCGGGTCCTACAGTCTGGGACGGGTGTGAGGGCCAGGGCGAGGTAGGCACGCAGAGCCAGTCCAACCTCTGCGCCTGGGTGTGTGCCCGTTGTGAAGGATTTTGAGTGGCACCCGCCGGAGCAGCGGGACCCACACGTGGAGGCAGCCAGGGTCCTGTGTGCACCTACAGTCCACGGCCCTGTGGCGCGGACGGCGGCGATGTCGCCGTCACCCCCTTCCTCGGGCCCTCACTCCACTTCCATCATCCAAGGCTGCAGAATGATGTGCCAGGCTTCCGTTCAGCAAGCTTTCGTCAGCCGCCTGCTGTGGGGCATCAGGCCCTGTCCCAGGGACCAGCCACAAAGAACAAAACTGACAAGGAACCCCCTCTCAACTCATCTTCGGGTGGGGGGAAAAGACAGACAGTAAAGGATAAGACTGTGAGGTCATTTCAGACGTTTGCACATCTATGAAGAAATCGGGAGAAGGTGGTTTGATGAGAGGGCAGTGTTAGAGGGGGCGGGGAGGGCAGGAGGGTTCCTGGGGTACGGCATGTCAGCCGACTCTGACGGCTAAGGAGCTATCCAGGCAGTGAGCAGTGGGCCGCACTGCAGACATGGGGACGGAAGGGCAGTGACTTGAGACTGGGCTTGTTCAGGCTTGTTTAGGGGCACGATGCAGCACACCAAGAGCCAGGGTGGGGGAGCAGAGATAAGGTGAGATTGGGGGGCAGTGTGGTTCTGCAGAGGCCAGGCAATGCACGGTGGGGGCTAGGCTGGGAAGGAGAGTTGGATTTTGTTCCAGGGAGTCACTTCTATGATTAGAACGTGTGCACAGATACCTACCTGGTTATTTATAAGCGGGATTATTGAGAGGCCGCGGTCAACGTCAAGTCGGTGAGCCAGTCCCGCCCACTTTACCAGAGGGGTGTTTCTCAGGCTGCAGAGTTAATAGCCTCGCTGGAGGCCCAGAGTGTCGTTCCCGCATCTTGCTTCTATACCAAAACCCTGCACTCATGCAATGAAACCTGTAACGGAGACGGGGGTGTTGTCCAGGCCGTTACTCTGCTGCGTGTCCCGTCCGCCTTTGCTCAGAGCGGAAGGACAGACGAGGAGGAAGGGATCGCTCGGTTTCACATCCCAGCTGCAGAAAGCCTGAAAGTTAATTGGAAAATTTTGTCTGCCCAGAAAAACGAAGTCCTTCTCACTAGAACAAGCCAATGACCTTGTTTCCCTTCCCAGTCCAAAGAATTGGGACTTCACAGTAGGCAAAATTGTGGACTGTATTGCTTTTTGCACCTGAGTCCCCCACGCCACTACCTCCCCCCGCCCCCAACCAAACCCTCCCCTGCCGGGGGTCCATCTGTGAGCATAGGCAGCAGTACTTTCTCCCTATCTGGGGGGCTGCTTTTTAGCAAGCCCAGAAGGTTCCCGCCCAGCCCCACCCCACGTAACCACTGTGCGTCCACATGCCTCAGGCAGGCCACAAGGGCATTTCTGCTTCCACTTTGGCCCACCAATGTCAAGTCCTGTTAAAGGAACATATACCCCCTCTTTGTAAGCACCCCAGCCCCCTACCACTCTACGGCCTGCCCCTCACAAGCCGTTAAGCCCCGTTAGCATTCCTGCGTGCTCGGAATCAGCAATGCCTCTTTCCGCCAGCACTTAATTGCACCCCTGCGAGTGCTTGATCGCATCCCTTTCTTTCCTTCTCCCGGGCTTGAGGGGCACGCCATGAGGCTTCACAGTCACTTTCCCCATGGAGTTATTTTCCTGCTAAGTGAAAGAGTAAGATGGCAATGCCAGTGTGCAGCAGACACTGCCCCAAGAGGCGCGGTTTGCACAGGGCGCGGGGAGGGCAGGCCGCGGTGAGGCATGCTCAGACACCTGCCATTTGCCGGTGCACACACAGCAGCCGGCCACGCGTCTGCCTGTGTCCTTCTCGTCGGGCCTTTGCTGCTGAAACACGTCAGCCTTTTCACCTTCAGTCGTATCCTTGTTCACCTCAATTTCTCAGCGGCTCTGAGATCCCGACCCGGCATGCTTCAGACACAGCCTCTTATGCTTCAGACACAACCTCTTAGCCTCCAGCCCCTTGACTTTTGGCTCACATGGTGCTTTTAAAAGACGTGAATGGCTGACATTTAAGAATCAGCAGAGTCCATGTCAAAATCTGAATCCAGGGCTGCCCTGGAGAGATGGGAAGATTTGGGAGCCAGGCTTTACCCCCCCCCCGCCCCCCGCAGTGGCCGGGACCAAGGGCAGCTGGCCCCGACTGGGTGTGCACCCTGCGCACGGACCCTCACAGGTCCCAGACACTCTTCCAGACACCGACGATGGACTCTGCCAGGAGGTGCTAGGGCTTCTAGGAAAAATGGCAGAGTCAGGGGCTGGAGACAGTTGGGTGGGGACTGCCACTTTTGGGGGAGGGGAGGGTGAACGCCTGGCCAGCTGATGTGGGAGCACAGACCGCAGGAAGCCAGGGAGTAGCTGCGGGAAGGCAGTGAGGGCCACCGCGGAGCTCCAGGGCGACAGGTGCATGAGTTGCAAGGCCAGGACCCGGCTCAGCCCGCTTAGGGCTGCGAGAAAGTGCTAAAGCAAAGGGATTCTAATTCCTGTGAGAGGCGGAGTTGGGCTGAGTAGTCTCGCAACTCCCGGGAAGGGAGGGCACGCCCTTCCAGAGACTTCCATCAGAACGCCAGGCTTAGTCCTGTGGGGTTTCCTGAGCTGTGTGTCGTGGTGGGTGCTGTGTGCTGTCATCCATCCGCGTGTGAGGCTTGAGACAAAGTAGAAGTTTCTCTGTTAAGATTTTTTGCTCTGATAGTCTATGATGAATATAAAAAAAAATTCAACTGATGCAAAGATAATAAGAATTCTTTTATATGCCACTGCCCCAGAGACCCCTGCTGGGAATAGGTGGGTAGGTAATTGTTAGGCTAAACGCTGTGTCTGTCCTTAGGACCTGAGGAGAAGCTTACCTGGAATATTCCGTTCCTGGCTTCTTCCCAGTGAGTGCTCTTTCCTGAGCTCAGTTACCTGACCAGGCCCGCAGAACGTGTCAGGTGATGGGAAGACCTGACCGGAGGGCCTGGTCTGAGATTTCCCTTCCGTTGGGTGGATCCTGGAGTGGAAGGAGTTGGCTGTGTCCCCATAATGGCGATTCAGTGTTTTAAAGTCGCCGTGCTCGCTGACGCGTGCAGAAAATAGACCCACCTGTCAGGGCTGTGTCGACCAGGTTGAACCACGATCCTTGGCCAGGCAGCCCCAAGGCACCCCGCTCCTGGCAGGGCTCCACTGCCAGCCTCCCTAGTATTCATCAGTTTCACGGGTGAGACTTTACAAATGGGGGCTCATTGTAAGACCAGCCCTGTCAGGCATGTGCTTCTGCTGTGGCAGATAAAGCCATTGAGCAAGTGTCTTTTTTTTTTTTTTTAAAGATTTATTTTATTTGTACATACAGAACTGGGGTACAGGCCAGAGGTGCAGGGGCGGCGAGAGGCTTCACCAGAGACAGAGTGGGGAGCAGAACAGGCAGATCGACGAAGTACACTGCTGAGGGGAGCAACGGGCGGGTCAGGAGAGGTCTGTGGCGCCATGTGGTCACCTCCGGGGCAGGCGGGAATCGAACTCATGCGGAAGCGGCTTTAGCTTCTCAGTGCTGTGCTTTAACCCGCTGTGCCACCAGGGAGGGCCGAGCAAGTGTCTTTTTCTAGAATCATTTTTATTGTTATTTTCACAGAAGTGGGACTTATGCCCTCCATCACTCTGATAACCCCGCCCTTTTCACTCACCAACAAGTGCAACCATCTCTCCACCCTGGTGCTCGCTGCTCAACCATCTGCACCCAGCGCTCCGAGCACTGTCCTGGGAGCCAGCAGCCTAGGCTTGGGACCACAGCACATACTTGCTATGTCCCTGCAGTGGTGTGGGCCAAGAGCTGGGCGGGTCAGGTCAGCTGTGGAGCGAGAGAATGGCCTAGAGGCCAGGAGAGGGTGTGCAGGGCCAGAGGTTGCTTTTACCATCCTCGTTCTCTCTGCTTGTCTCCAGGACACCAGCTCTCCCACCAGCACCACGCTCTGTGATTTTAATTTCTCCCTTCTGAACTCACGTGGATGTCCGGACCCGCCAAGCAATACAGACAAAGAAAGGATCCTCTTAACTATTCAGGATGTGATGGTAAGATTGATTTTCAGCATCCTCACCGTGAAGAGCCAGCGTGTTTCTCAGAACCAACTAGCTGGGAAAATGACTCAGATTAGCAACAGGATTTGGCTTTCACAAAAGAGCCTATGGCCCACCCAGCCAAAGGTTTAAGGCACCACTCAACAGTCTTAACTTAATGGTGTTATCTCTTTGTTTAACGACAGTAAATTCTCACTTGAGCACTTACGAAGGGCAGCGCACTAGATGGAGTACGTATCACCGTCTCTACATTATCCCCGTGAGTTAAGTGCGAGGTGTTTTCATGCCTGTTTCATAGTTTGAAGAAATGAGAAGTGCTGTTGCTTGCCCAGGCTGGAAGCCCAGGCACCACGACCCTTTGTTCCTTGGCATTAACAGTCACAGCCTGTGAATTGCACTGACCTGTTTTTGCTTCCGAAAGTGCCTAGCTGTCCTTAGGGGGACAGTCTGAATATTATTGATGTTCTGCCCGGAAGCAAGGTGCTCAGAGGTGACCATCCATCAGCTGTGCTTAACTGTGTTAAACACAGATCAAGAGGCCCACCCCCAGCCAGCTGCCTCAGACCCCCGTGACCCCAGACTGGGCACAGTGGTGGAAAATGTGATTCAGAAATGAAATCCAGTGAGGAAGCATCAGACAGACCCACATAGAGGCTCAGTCTACACCTCCACTGGCCTGGAATTTCCGACCATGTCAGCGGCATGGGAGACAGAGAAAAATGTTCCCCATTGAAGGAGGCTAAAGAGGTGTCAGTTACCCGTGGGCTGGGGGTGGGAGAGTGGCTGTATATTTAAGGGTGCCTTCGGGAAAGCAATGGACTATGTTTCATTAGAAAATTTGGTATGGATGGTAAATGCTCTGAGTTCAGTAAGCCCTGTGGTGGTTGCATAAGCCTACTTGTTCTCAGCACACGCTGCAGTGTGTAGGCATGAGGGGAGGTTGTGCCGGCAACGAATACATACACGGGCCAGAGGAAAGAATAGGTGTTTGCATACTGACAAGGAGAAATGGGAGGAGAGAGAAATGTGACAAAATGCTAACAGTTGGTGAATGTAGGTGAAGGGTGTTGGAGGATTCATTAGACTATTCTGATAAGTTTTCTGTGGGTTTTAGATTTTTTTTTTCCAAAATGACAAGTTTTTTAAAAGGTGGCACATCAAAGAGGCGGGACCAACGAAGAAAGAAAGGGAGAGAGCTAGGAAAAAGAGGCCGGTTTAAAAGGCTCGGTGGGGTTGTATTGCCCTCAGTTCTCTCGTGCAAAATGTGGCAGTCGGGGACACGGGAAGAAGGCTACCTGGAGTGTCTCTGTGTCGGCTTCTCCCAGACAGCATGCCAGAGCTGCAGCTAGCTAAAATTAAAAAGCAAACTAAATAAGTAACAACGACAGACGCCCAGGTCTTCCCAACCAGAAGTTCTGATTCTGACCCTGGGTTTGGCCTCAGACCTGGTTTCTCTTTTCAAGCACCCACATGGCTATAATTTACAGCAATATTTGAGAACCACTGTGCTAAGCAAAGGACAGAGCTGTGGATCTCAAAATTTACCTAGGCTACTTGTTTCAAACGCCAATTTTAGGTCTGATTTTTAAGCCAGCAGAATTTGTACCTAGGAGGTTGCCAAATTTTAATGAAAGTACTCTTTCATTAAACGGTGATTCTGGCCCTCCCTGGTGGTGCAGTGGGTTAAAGCGCAGCACTAAGAGTTCGATCCCCACGCCCGGAGGTGACCACATGGCGCGGCAGACCGCTCCTGACCCGCCCGCTGCTCCTCTCAGCAGTGTACTTCGTCCATCTGCCTGTCCTGCTCCCCACCCTGTCTCTGGTGAACCCTCTCACTGCCGCTGCACCTCTTGCCTGTACCCCAGTTATGTATACACAAATAAATAAATCTTTAAAAAAAAATGGGCAGACCTGAGCCAGAAGACCTGAAGATTCGAGCCCACTTTTCAAATGGAAAGTTTGAGAGCTACTTTGGGCTTTTTTGTCCTGGATTTGGTGGCTTTAAAACCGAAGATGTTTAAAAGCTCCAAGTCAAAAATCTTTTCTACATTATGTATTGTATATTATTACCATAATATAACAATCCAGTACAAAATTAAATAAAACTGCAAGCAAAAACCCATCAAGGTTCATAAAAGTCAGAAGGGATGGAAGGGGCTCCGCCCTTATTTTTGGAAACCATACCCTACCCTCTGGAGACTCAGGTGGGGCGAGAGGAAAGCACGAAGGAAGTCAGGAGCATCCTAGTCAGGGATGCGTTCTACTCAGAATATTCACCATTAGTTTTAAGAAAAGACATGTTATATTCAACATTCTCTTATAAGAACACAAGGAAGTCTTAATCTTTCAGAAATATTTTCATAGAAAGTTGTTCTTTTAGGTTCTTTACTCCTTAAAGAGGTGAAATTTTAGATACCTTGAAAATGAATATTCAACCTTTCTATTTGTTTTTTGCTCCTTTTCACCCGGTTCAAAATATGTCTCAAACTTGAGAAAAAACAATCCACAGAAAATAGGAGCATGTAGAAGAGTTAGATATGACTTGAAAATTTTATATTCAAGCTAAGGGGAGAGATACAGTGAAGAATGCTGGAGGATGTTCAAAAGGAGGCCTGGATGGATAAATGCAAGGATCAACTTCTGCTCCCAGCTGCCTGGGGTATTGTACAACTGTATCATTGTTGCTGTTTGATTTTGAATTAAAAATCTTTTCTTCTGAGCATGCTCCCCCCTTTCTGCCCTGTTCCCCACCACTCCCTATTAGGCAGCACTGATACTCACATTACCACTTAATGCTATATTGTATCTACTGAAGATGCAGGAGTTTGTGGCCTCCGATTCAGGGAGTGGAAAACGCAAGTGACTGTGGCTCTTTGCGCCTGATGAGGGTTCTGTGGGCTCTTCCAAGAGCGGACTTGGCTAAGTGGAGTCCTTGTTGCCTCCTGTATAACAAGACAGAACAAACCCAGTATTTCCTGTGCCTGTCAGTCCTGAAATCATAAAGCTTAGGTGTAGTTTATGGGTGTTGCCATATTGCAAAATCCACAGGAGTTAAGAATGCATGGAGCCCCGACTCATCCAAGGACAATTTTGGTAGACTTTCAGAAGTTACATATTTAGACAGTCCCAACACAGATCTAAGCTTCTTGATGCACTGCTTTGGTGTGTGCTATGCTTCTGGTTCCTAGAAAAGTGCCTAGCATAGAGTGAGTTTGCAAATAAATCTTTGTTAAGCAAGTGAATTGAATAATTGATTGACGAATCAATGGGTGAGTGAGTGGTATAGATGTTGACACTCTGGCACACCCACATACGCTGAGTTCAGTCATCACATCAGTAAGTTATAATTAAGATGACAATATTTTCCAAACTATGCATCAGGACATGTAATCTGACAATGATTTTTTTTTTTTTTTTTTTTTTGTGCTGAATTGAGTTGGATAACAGCTAGGATCAGGCACCCCAGAGATTGCAATAGATGGTGACTCTGGATGGAACTAATAAAATGCAAATGGAGACATAGGTGGAAGAACAGTTTGTGGAAAAGAGGTGCCTTTGAGCCAAATGCC